CCTGCAGCACCCTGCAAGGCAGCACTCGGGGTTACGGCGTGTTCTTATCTGCTCACAGCAGCCCATCCACACCGCCTCACTCAGGGAGCATCTTCTGGTCTCTGCGTGGCCACGCTGCTGCTATCCGCAGTCCAAGATGGACAGCAAATAGCTGCTGTGCTCAGAGGTGTGTATTTTTAGGCCACGCGAAGGCTGAGTGGCTGCTCTGGAATGCGGGGCAAGAATCAGATGTGAAATTCCTGGTCCGAACTGCGGAATCTTCTCATCAGATAGCTTCCAAAAATCCAAACGTGTTTTCTGCGCATTGTGAAGACGGGAAGATTTATCTGTTTACACCGCTTCTCCTCCCCCATTAGCCCTAATCCGCTGCCTCAATAATTCTCTCCCACAAAGCAAGGAGAGCTGCAGAAGGAATACAGGACTCTCCAGATGAAATAAAGAGCGGCTGTGGTGGGTGAACCACAACGAAGCCAGGATATGATTTTTCCTGATAGCATCTATTAATACTTACAGTCGTGTACCACCTTATCTTGGAGTTGGAATTGTCATTTTGCTCCAGTAAAGCACCTGCAGCCAGCATGCAAAGCAGAACTGCACACCTCTTGTGCACTCTGCAGTCCTCAGCTCCTGTAATGCAGGGGACCAGAAGGAAATCCCTCTGTTTCTGTGAAACGTGGCCGAAATCACCTGCAGTCCACCTGGAGACTGACAGGGAAGGCTGAGGATTTTAACGAGGTGAGCACGTTAGCAGGAGAGCGGCAACACAGGGAATCACACACGTGCAGTAAGCACATGGTCTCATTTTTACCATCCAGATGTGCTCTTATGTAGGACAAATTTAGTGCAGTAAAATCCAGTGCCCTGGCTGCAGGAGGTTGTGGAATCCTAGAATCACAGAATGGCTTGGGTTGGAAGGGACCTCAAGGATCACAAAGCTCCAAACCCGTGCTGCAGGCAGGGCCACCAACCTCCACATTCAATACCAGCCCAGGCTGCCCAGGGCCCCATCCAACCTGCCTTGAACACCTCCAGGGACGGATGGGGCATCACAGCCTCTCTGGGCCTTCCCTGCTGCAGCACCCTGTGTGCAGGGCATGGAAGCGGGCAGCCTCCAATGCTGCAGGACGCGGTGCTGCTCCATACAGGATGAGTGCCTCAGCAGTGACATTGCTGCCTCCCTTCTCTCAGTAAAGGTGCTTTCTGGAACTGTTCTGCACATTTGAAAGGAAAAGCAGCAAAATATCTGAGTGTTTCAGCTTGAATAGCCTTGAAAGTACCACGGCAGTGAGTAAGTTTGCACCCTGGAGCTGCTAAAGCATGACTGTGAGAATGAGAGTCTGGGTGCAGCTGTGCTTGTGAGCAAACAAGGAATGACGTCTCCGTCACCCCAGGAGTGCCCTGGTCTGCTGCTCGTTTCCCTCAGTGGTTCTGTTCAGCAGCCGAGCACCAAACAAGCACCAGGGCAGCGCACACTGGAAGCCATTTACACTAAAGCAGTGCCTTATGGAAGTGGAGCATTTTTCAGGTTCTCCGTGCTGAAGGCACGGTCTTGACTGCACACCAAAAGACCTGGTGCCTGCACTACGAACACAGTTCCTCTCTTCCTCTAAACATGGCATAAATCAGAGACACGGAGGGCAGCAGAGCCCTGCACAGAGCGCAGAGAGGTGCTGGAGCACCTGCAGTGGAAAACTGCTTTTAGGGGTTGGACTGAGGGAGCTCCAAAGGCCCCTTCCAGCCCCCACGGTTCTGTGCTTCAGCTTTCTGAGCAGTGCAGGAGGCAAAGCACCACGAGGAATCCCTGCACTGTCATCAATTTGCTGAGCATCCACATCCCAAAGGAGGACAACAGATACCCCCCAGCTCAGGCACCTCTGCTCTACCAGCCTATGTGCAGCAGCTCTCCTGCAAGCTGGGGGAGCGCAGAGCAGCACCCACATCCGGATGGGAAGAATATGAGAACAAGAACTGAGAGGGAAATGCATTTCCTGCCTTTAATAACTCTCTTTTCATTTTTTTTTATCCTTTTAATTACAGATGAGTACGCAGCAGCTAACTCCTGTAGAAGACTGAAATGCTGCTGGGGCTGCAGCACAGGAAGAGCAGCACAGCTCTGCCAGCATTACCAGCTCTGACCCCCTGACTTCCAGAAGTAGGATGAGCTCGAGTTCTCACTCAACTTACAGCAGAGATCACATTTTACTTCCATCACAAGCTATTAATCATCTCTAAACTTGATGCCTCTGAGTTCCTTTTCGGGGCAGGGCTGTTTGGGAGATTTGATGGAATTTTACAAGGATAATATTCATAAATTAATTTACTTTCTATTTTTTACCTCGGCCATGTGAACTGCCAGCTCTGCCAGCCTTTCCATCACAGGGCTCGAGCTCTCTGTGCACAGAAGGGAGAAAAATCCTCCCTGTGCCATCCAGCACCCATCACGGAAGCGAGCTTTGCCCCTCTCCTGCTGAAGGATTCCAAACAGTACAAACTGTTCCCAAACCACATTGCCCTCCGATGGCACAATGAAGGGCTCTGGACTCTCGGGTGCTCCCTCGTCCCATACAGAAGCAGCAGATGTGGACGCAGTCCCTTCTACTACAGCACGGTGAGGGGTCTGCGCCAAAACGGGGCACGAGAGAGGGAGTGCAAGATAAGGGCTCTTAAAAACAAGGAAAACGACACTAAATAAGCAGAGAGAGCAACCTGCTGAAAACCAGAGGGCGCTTGCAAAGTCACACGCGGTACCTTTTCTCACAGAGCACGGAGGTCAGTTTCGCTACAAAGAGTGCAAATAAAAAGTACAGAACGACTCCTTCCCACCCCACAGGGCACGCAGGGCCCCACGGAGCAGGGAGGTTCTGCCTCCCTTATCGCTGTGCCTTCGGCCCCCGCTCTGCTGCCCCTCGGCACACCCGCCGGGCTGCACAGGGCGCCGCCTCCCCCCGGCCCCCCGCACACCCGTCCATCTCCCGCACAGCCGATCCCAGCCTCGTCTCCTCACATTCAGCCCTTTCTTTACAACCCCCCCCCCCCCTTCTCCTCCTCATCCTTCCTTTCCATCACAGGTTTCGGTCGTCTCTTTCCAAACGCTCTGCCCTCTGAGACCGCCGCTCCCTCACCGCGCCGTCCCACCCGCACGGCCTCCCCTCGGACCCCCCGACGGCACCCACCAGCAGCGGCGACCAGCACGCCGACAGGACGCACGTGATCCCCAGCAGCTGGATCAGCGTCTCGGTGGCGATCCGTCCCCACCGCTTGCTGGATCGCGAGGCGGCGGCCTTGCTCCGGCAGCGGGACACCAGAGCCTCGATGGTGGCCAGGTTGCACACCACGGTCAGCAGCAGCGAGAAGAGCCCCAGCCCCGCGAAGGCGGAGGCGAAGAGCGCGCTGCCGGGGCGCTGCCCTTCGACGCTGATGAAGCACCACGTGCCGGGCCACTGCAGCGCGTAGCGGCCCAGCCCGGCCAGCGGCATCAGGGCGAAGGCGGGCACGGCCAGCCAGATGCCCAGCAGCACGGCCTTGGTGACCCGCGTCTTCATGTGGCTGGCGTAGCAGTGCGGGGCGCGGATGGCCAGCGTCCGCTCCGCGGCCATGGCGCTGGCGATGAAGAGCGGGCAGAGGCCGAAGACGGTCATGCTGAAGCCGAAGAAGGCGCAGAGGCGGCCCGAGGGGTCGACGTTGGCCCAGGCGCGGTCGGACAGATACACGGCGATGACGATGGGGCTGGTGAGCAGCTGCCCGGTCAGGTCGGTGAGCGCCAACGAGCCGATGCACAGCAGGAAGGAGCGCCTGCGCCGGTTCTCCTTGGCGCGGTAGCTGCGGGACACCAGCAGCATGGCCAGCGCGTTGCCCACGATGCCCGTGATCATCATGGTCAGCGGGAACGCCACCGACACGGCGCCGCAGCCCTCCGCCGGCCGGCCCGTGCCGTTGCCCCGCGGCCGCATGGGCTCGGTGCCGTTGGCGCCGGGCTGGCACAGCGGGCGGCGGCTCATGGCGGCGGAGCGGAGCGGCCCCGGCCCATGGCAGCACCGAGCAGCGGAGAGCCGCCGCTATGAGGCTCCGCCGCTAAGAGGCGGACCGCCCCCGGGGAGGGGACAAGAGGCACGGGGCACGGCGCGGCAAGGCAAGGGGCACGGCACGGTAGGGCACCGGCACTGCGCAGCACGGGCACTGCACGGCACGGCACCAGCACGGCGCGGCTCCCCTCGCGGCGGAGCGGCATCTGCGGTTCGCCCCCACGCGCCGCCCGCTGGCACCCGCCCTTCGCACCCCTCGCGCTCCTGGCTGAAAGCTACCGGCTGTGTGCAATAACGCACCGCTGCTGCTGAAAACCAGCCGGCTGCGCTTGTAGCCCGACGCCTCTAACGGCACTGTGCAGATGTAGAAAAGTTCCACAAACGCCTGCAGCACCGCGTTGAGGCAGCAGCGCTGCGCCGCACGGCCGCGCCGAACCGTCCCGCATCGCTCCGCTGCTACAGCAGGCTGGACAGGCGCTGCGAAGGATGCCGCGGTGCAGCGCCTGGCACAGAACCACAGAATGGCCAGGGTTGGAAGGGACCCCAAGGAGCATCAAGTCCCAACCCCCGCCGGCCCCCCCACATGCAGGGCCACCAACCTCCCCATTTCACAGCAGCCCAGGCTGCCCAGGGCCCCATCCAACCTGGCCTTGAACACCTCCAGGGATGGACGGGGCATCACAGCCTCTCCGGGCAGCTGTTCCAGCACCTTACTACAAAGCAGCCATGCAAACAGCTCAGACATTGCTTCCTCTGAAAGCCCTTCCAAAGTCAGGGAAGGTGTGCAATCTATCTTGAAGTAGTAGAAAAAAAATGACTTGTATTTAACCAGCACTATGGTTATAAGGTTTTTCCCACTACTTAGTAACCACAAGCTGAGGACACAGAGCACACGCTGCCCTTCCTGCACTGCAGTAGCACAGCTCCCAGTGGCTGTCAGGACGTGTCTGTGTTGGACAGAAAGCACTCAGCACGCAGTTGACTCACAGCTTTTATTTACACTCGTCTACAGATTCATTTTGCCTTACATTTTATCTAAGCCAAACAAAACCATAATTTTCTTTTGTCTGTAGGCCACCACTCGCTAAATGTAAAAACTCTCATCTGGGTAAGTACAGCAACAATTGGAATACAGAGCACAGGTCAAAGAACCGAAGGTAACACATAGCGGCTATCAGATCTGCTCTTTACACTGCAGTAGTTGGACTTGGAAGGCGCCAGAGGCACAGTTATGAGACTAACCTGCTCTTGTGTAACCTACACACACTCAGCACGAAAATCAGATGGAAAGAAAGCATTGAAGAAGAAACTGCAGGTCGTTTTTTTTTCCCTGCTAAAAGATTAACAGAAATATTTCTACACCAAAACAATTTTGCTTACAGAACAGTCTGAAAGAAGTGTCTTGGAAAGGAAAACAATGTAGTTTTTTGTTTTGCTCCATTTGTTTTGGTGAGATCATCTGAAAAATCAGCTGTGGACTATGGGTTTGAAATTGTACAGCGGAGATAACTGCAGAGAATTGCTGCCTGTTTGCTTACAAAGACTTTTCCTCAACATACTTACCTTGTGATGGCACCGAAGACACTTAAATCTTTCTTAACCAAACGGAGCTCAAGAGAGACCAAGTTTCAGTGTGATATTACTAGCGAAATAAGTTCTGTAAAGCATTTTAAGCCATAAATTATACGTTTGGGGGAAAAAAAAAAGAATGATGAAGAACACATTTGTGATGCTAGGACTTTCTACGGTTTATTTTGGTTTTTAAACATAAATAAAATTCAGATACCTGGAAAATTTGTCTGCCGAAAATGAATTTTACAGATGGGCTGCAGAAACTTCCCTTCATTCCAAGAAGCCATTTCCATCACTTCTCCACCTCAAGAGTAGCTCCCAAGCGATCCTTCCCAAAGAAAGGACTGCAAAGCCCAGGATCCCCCACGTGAAAATACTTAACCCAGCACCAACTGCAGAAAGTGCACTTTCCACAGCTACAAGGCTGGAGCAATGGAGAGGGCATTGCCCACGTCTCAGACATCCCTAGATGCTCTCTGCAGGACCATACTGTGGGCTCCAGACTTAGCAGCATTTCTGCTCTGGGCGTAGTTAAAGAGAGAGAAGGAGGCAAGCATCTACACTACAGCACAGAAAAATAAAGACCCAGGAACTCACGACTTTGATCCAGTGAGCAACAACAGCCCTACAGCTACACTAATCTTTGTGGTCCCACAAGAGCTACGTGAAACAAGCTCCCGAGGTGCAGAAAGCTCGTGGGCTCCTCCGACATCCTCAGGTGCTTTTTTGTGCCATTGCCACGTGAAGAGCAGGGTGGTGTATGAGCGCATCCAACCCGTGTCTGCTCATACGCAGGAAAGCCAGGAGCTGAGTAACTGAGTCTTTCCAAAATAAAAACAAAAAAACAAACCAAAAAATCCCCTCTTACTCAAAGAAACAAAACAAAAAACCCTCGCACCTCGTCTGAGGGGTTTATGGCTTAAAATGCTATCTCACTTTTTGTTTCATGAATGAACAAAGCTGCAGTTTTCCAGAAAGCAAGGACAGACATGCACCTCTACTAGCAGATTTAGCACTTCTGACCAAGTAAGACACCAACTTCTTAAAAATGTCTCATGCACTGACTGGAAATTTTTTCTTTTTCTTTTTTTTTTTTTTTTTCCCCTATGTGTGAGCTTTAAGACATTATTTCTTTTTAGAACTTGTACGGGAACCAGAATGGGAAGATCCAGATGATGATCTGCGGCGTCTGCAAGATATAAAGGGAGAAAGCATGCAAACAAATAAGTTGAAATCAATTTTAGCATCCACTTTGAGTAGTCTGCATCCTATAATAGCTGGAAGCCAAGTATATCTGATAGGGGCCTTATGAGAATATAAAAGACTTCAGACCACTTTAAGATAACAAATGCGGATTTCTAGAATTAAATTCACATTAGGTTTAATACTGAAAATAGAATGTAACTTCTAAATGCAGTATTCGCTTATGAAAACAAATTAATAATGCACACATTAATTAACAGCTTTGCACACTGCAAGAACGGTGACCCAAGTGTTTCTATGGAACATGCTCCTAGCAGGAGGGAGCTTCATTGGAGGAGGAAAAAAAACCAAACAAAACCCAAAACAAATAAAGAGGTTTTAATAGGAACAAAACGGGGGAAGTGAGAAAACTACTGCTAGCATCAGAATTCAACTGCTTCCTAGCGAACCTCTGTCCTTCGAGGAGAAAAAAAACAAACATAATCACACGTTTCAATACAGCCATTCTTATTCTACATAAACCCAAACCTTTCGGGTGACCGTGATCTCGATCGTCTTTTTTTGCGATCACCAGATGAAGAAGATCTAGAGCGACTCCGCTTCTTGCTCCTCTCGGGGGACGAGGACGAACGAGAGCTGGAGTAAGATCTTTTCCTTGGGGTTGAAGACCCCCTGTAGGACCTGGAGCTGGATCTTTATCGATTAAGAAATAAATGAGATTTAATCCTGGGATCATAGAGAAAGAGCCAAGAAAGAACAAAACGAGACAGTTCTTGTCAGCACTCCTACTCTACGAGGTACGTGTTCTAGCAGAGGACTGAGGAGCCTTTAATACTTACTCTTGAGTTAACTGACAGTACAGACTGCAATAGAAGCTCTCTCTATACATTTCGCTAAATTGAGTTTCCAGATATGCAGGCCACCAGTGGTTTGGAAACCTCTCTCCAGCCTTCACCAGTGCTAGGTGACTGGACAAAAAGCATTGGACACTGGGACAGCAGGGTGCCATATGAAGACCCCCCCGTAGTTAAGTTCACAAAGCAAAAGAGCTCAGAAACTACAGCTGTAATACCAATTTAACAATGTTTCACTTCATAGTAAGGGATACTTTGTGCTGAAACTTCAAGTGCAATGTATTCCTCATCTTATTAGAACAGGAAAAACCCCTGGAGGGGTATTTACAAGTGCCAAAATATACCTGGGCAGATTGCAAGACCTTCTGAAACTGAAACAATAATAACAGAAATATCACAGAATGGCTTGGGTTGGAAGGGACCCCAAAGATCATGAAGCTCCAACTCCCTGCCACATGCAGGGCCACCAACCTCCACATTTCATAGCAGCCCAGGCTGCCCAGGGCCCCATCCAACCTGGCCTTGAACACCTCCAGGGATGGACGGGGCATCACAGCCTCTCTGGGCAGCTGTTCCAGCACCTCAACACTCTCATAGCAAAGAACTTCCCCTGACATCCAACCTCAATCTGCCCTCCTTTGACTTAAAGCCATTTCCCTTTGCTGTTATCTACCCTTTCAAAGAGTTGATACAATATCTTAGAATATCAGTTCATGTGGCATTTCTTAAAAAAACAAACAAACAAAGACATCCAGCTTCACTTACAAGCACTTAAAAATCTCATCATGTAAAAAAATAAATAAATGCACCTCTGGAAAGTGTAACAGCACTGGGAAGTCCTACACCAGTCCAGAATGATGTGAGAGCACCTAACAAGGCTTTTTTTTTTTCAGTGAGCTGAATAAAACGTTTTCAAAGAAAACCACAGTGCACACTGCTGGTAAAGTGCTCCCAGGGTTCTCACTGCCAATAATTAAGCAGTCCTGTCCCAAGCAAGCTACTACATGGGGCCCTCAGCAGATGTGTGCAGCACAGGGCAATAACCTGCTCAGCTGAGAAGCCCTTCAGCACCTGCTGCAGCCACACATGGCTTTTTTGCTTCCTAGCAGCACGGCTGCCATCTCTGAACCTCACATGGGCACCACAGAACGTTACTGCCACCACAGAGCAGTGGCACCATTCAGGACATGTCTTCTCAGCTCCAGCTGTCTTTCCTTATTTTAGGGTTTTAAGAGTCTCCACCATTTACTGCACATGAGTTTTAAACAGTCCCCACACACTGTGAAGGTGGTGGCAGCGCTATCTAGTGGAAATTACATTATCTCTAAACACAGAAATAGCAAAGCACACTTTCTGCTGTTCTTCCACAACAAGTAGCCGAAGTGGAAGCAGCAAAAAGTGCTGAAGCAAGAGAACGTGCCCTCAGATTCTTCTTATTCCAAAGTGCAGATGCGTGGCGTCCACTCGTCTAGCTTAGATCAGAATTAAACTCTTCCAACAAAACCTCACATCTCAAGAAATACATCGGTAGTGGCAGCACTCTTGTGCAGAGACCCCAGGAATTCTGATTTCCCAGATAAAAACGAGTTCATGCTTTTGACCGGAATAATTTTACGGTGCAATAAACAAGTGGTTCTTCCGCCCTTTTTTCCTCTCTGCAGGAGAGGGTGCTACCTCATTCACCTTGATTTCGACCCACGAGATCTAGAGTGTTCTCTGGAACTGGAACGAGATCTTGATCTGGAACTGGAAGAACTTCTTGAGTGGGACCTGAAACAACATGGAAGATTTTTTCCAGTATTTGCCTTGCACTCAGCAGAACTGCTGCTGTACACAGCAGAGACAATGATGCGTCAAGACAACTGGATTAGATTCATGAGATGCTGACAGCTTCCCCCTCCTCCCAATATCTGCAGGCTGCATTTGCCAAGAGCACCTTTAACGTGCTCACACGGTGCGTTCAGTAACTCACAGCCCAGCTTTTCATTACGTTTCCTGCAACAAGGCACAGGAATTACACAGGGTTGCAGCTCTTTTGCAGAATGAGTCAAGCAACTGCACAACCATGATTTCATGACATCAGCGCCTGAGGTTTTAATTTGTGCCTTAGCTGGAAACCATTTTCTGTGAGAAGCAAATGAGGTAAGAGTACTAGGACTCAAACTGCCCAACTCTGCTCTCACAGGCAGTTTGTAAACAGTTCTCAGTTTTTGCACTAATTTCTCCATGATTTAAAAACTCAGCAGTATTTCATTCTGGGCTGAAATGCAGACAGGGCTGACACTACTTGTAACTGCTCAGATAGCTTCTCAAGTTTGCCATGTTGATGGAGTTTCTTTGAAGCACAAATAACAAGAGAGACGCAAAAATGGCAGCCCACTTGCAGTAACAGTTGTGAAAAGAAGGCTTTGCAATCAAATCCTCATCATCTTTTCAGACAGAAGACACATGCTGTCCATCTCCCAGTTTGTACTGTTACCATGCCTTTTTCATTTTGCTTTGCCAAACAAAAGCACCGTGAAAATTTCCTTTTAAACTACTGAAAATATACATTTCAACCTTAAAACAACCGTAAGAAGAAAACCTACCAACCCACTGCCAATAAATTATTGGTAACTACAAGTGTTGATGGACTGCTAACAAATTTAATTCAGTGAAACTACTTTTTACCTCACTGCTAACATTTGCAAATTATGAAGATTACAGCCAGATGGAACACTTCTGCCTCCTTTGATCTTCCCACCTAAACCAAAGGACTGCACTTGAGTGCAGCCCACACCAGCAGCATAATGCAACTTCCCCACATAGGGGCAATGCAGCCACTTCCTCAAAGAAGTGATGGGAACTTCCTACACAGCTCACTTCGTTTACCAAAATAGCTGACAGGCATTCAGCTCAGTCAGTGTTACTCAAAGTGCTGCTCCTTGCAGCCATATGGCAATTAGTCAAGAAGGCATTTGAGGGAGCCAGGAGGCTGAGAACAGGTTTTTCTTTTTTCCACAAAAACATTTCTCATAGAAGAGGCAGCATGAAAAAAAAAAAGCATGATAACAGCAGGGAGAAGGACAAAACAGAGAGAATGGCTCATATCTGGTTAGTGTGAGGGGATGAAGAACTCGGGCAGTGATCAGAGTGGTTAGAACAGAGAGGTGCAGTTACAAAGCTACAAAGATTAGAAGAAACTTGAACTTCATGTATAAAATGTTTATATATGGTTCCATGAGTTGGCAGCAATTTCAGGTTTCCAATCTATCAGTATTATCGTTGTATTAATTACAAGGCAGCTGAGATTGATCACAATGTGATTACCAAACATTCATTGAGTTCTTTGTACGTTATTAAATTGAAATAATAAAGTGAGCTCCTAAATCTACCCAGCAGACACCGGTTCACGACTGCACCATCAACATCACAGAACTGCAGAATGGCTCAGGTTGGATGCAACCTTTCAAGATGCTCCAGTCCAACCTCCTGCTGGGGCAGAGCCACCTTCCAGCACAGCAGGCTGCCCAGAGCCCATCCAACCCAGCACTGACTGCCTCCAGGGATGGGGCATCTGCAGCTTCTTTGGGAAACCTGCTCTATTGCCTTGCCAGCTGCATCATAAAAAGAAATAAAATCCTCCTCATAAATCTTTAGTATTATTCTGACTGCACTACCACTGTACTGAAAGTTCAAGTTTCTTGTTTTTATTTCCAGGATAGCTTCTATTCTGTCCATCTACTGAATCTGTCTGGACTGCATCACTGCCCCCTTCTGCCTCCTTTAACAATCTCACTCTTCTATTTCTCTGTTCAAAAACTCAGCATCATCAGAAAAAGCACATTCATTGAATCGCTTATGGCTAACGAGTCTAAAATAAACTGGAAGATAAGCTTTTTTCAGTCATTTATTTGAAGATTTCAATTGAAATATTAACTTCACTTAAGCAAGCAGCAAGACATACAGGGCCTTCCTACTGAGAAACCACGGAAGGCCAGAACAGAACATCATCTACCTGTGCAAATTCTGTACATAAAATTGTCAACATTATTAAACTAAAACTGTAAGGCAATCAAGAAAATAAGTAAATAAAGAAGTTAGATACTGACATTTTGCCTGGCGTTACCCTTGACCTGTACCCGTTTACCTGGACCTAGACCTTGAGCTTGAGTGAGAGGATGAGCGTGATGAAGATCGTGAGTGGGAAGATCGAGACTTGGACCGGCTGCGCCTATTGGGTTTCTTTTTCTTATTAGTGTCCTCCTCTTCACTGGCATCAAGATTATATTTTGAGAGGTCAGCATCGTCTTCATCCTCATCCTGGAAAATGCCGATACAAAACTCAGTTCCTTTATTTGATGGTGTTCCACTTCATAGCTAAACCTGAGGTAATTCTGACAGCCTCCAAGTGAAGGAACATCCCCTCTGTAAGGCTGCCAGACTGAAAAGCTCCAATTGAAACCTCAAACTCTTGAATTCTGATCTCAGACAAACTTCAGTGCTTTTTCTCGTTTAAAGAAAATTACCCAGCCTCGATTGCAGCCATCAGAACAGCACAGATCTCACATGCAGATACTTCCCAGAAGCTGCAGGCGTTATTCTGATAGCTACTCCTCTACACAACCTCATGATTGTGTATAAATATCAACCAAACGTCGCCCACTACTAAACTACTCTACAGTAACCAAACAAAAAAACCCAACCAATCCACAAAATGAAACACAGTACCTCATCCAATTTGTATTTGGAAAGATCTCCATCCTCATCCTCCTCATCTTCCCCCTCAGATTCCTTATCTTCTACTTCCTTCAGGATAGATGCCGGCCCAACTGGTTTTCCTCTGTACTTTTTCTTTTTGCGACCAAACTAAGAAATTGCATTGCATTAGTATGTGATTTATGGAAAGTCATTCCCAGTGCCACCTCCTTCCTCAGATTTCTTTGAGAAAATAAATATGCACCGATTTAAATAAGGTATTGTTCAAATTGAGGGAGATGCACAAGGAAATGTCAGTTAGGAGACTTCTCAGGGAGATGTTTGTCAGATAAAATTACTGCTTTCAGACAAAATCATTGGGAACCCAAATTTAATAAAAGAATATTGTTGCATTTGTGCCTATGGAGTATATTTACATAACAATGTTAAACATGTCTGAAAACATGCCTTCTCTTGAAACCAATTAAGCACGTTGAAAAACACAGCTCGCAACTGTTTAATTTGAAGTTTTCAGCCCTCAAAATATAATACAGATGCTTTTACTTTCAGCTCAAAGCTTTTGCACTTGAGCATCTGACAGCGCTGCACCACGAGGTGTTACTCATTAGCACTTTTCCCCATCAGGGAACTAAATATAACAAATACAGGAATCCCAAGCACAGGTCACACAATACGTCTCTCCCAAGCAATACATGATCTCATCTTACCTCATCATACTCCCCATCTGATTCTTCACGTTCTATATATTCAACATTCTCTCGTTCATTAAATCCTCCTCCATACCCTTTAAAAAGTGGTAAAATAAAACAATCTTTTGGGATGTACCAAATTCATCTACGTTAAGCACAAACTTTACAACAAGCTTTCAGTTTCTAGAAGTCTTCAGTGGCAACACAAATTCACGCCACAAGAATGCAGTACGAGCTCAAGAAGATCACAGGTTATCCCTACACGTTCATTAAAAATAGCCCCTCAGCTATCTAATTGAGAGAAGTGATTAGAACACAAATGACACAGACAACAGAGCAGCCACTTCAGGGAAGCAGTCGGTGGACACGGCAGGGAAGGCAGCGCTCCATAACTGCTCCCCTGCTGCTGTTTCTGAAGCCCCTCTGCCACGTCCAGCCCCCACATGCACCAAACCCCCACTGTGGCTCCTGGGCACAGCAGTCTGCTCCCATATTGCAACTGTTCTGTGGCATTAAATCGTACAGACCCTCAGGAGGCAAACACAAACAAGACCGTGCTGTAGTTGAATTAAATGGCACAGGTGCCAAGAACCTTTCTGTTCTTCATAATGTGAGCAGAGAACTCAAACTGATTTGGATGCCAGCTAACTCTGTAACTTCCCACAGCTGCGTGCAGCGTGCTGTGCCCCACGTGCAGCTGCAAATTTACTCTGAAGGACACCTGAACTTGTAAGGAGTTCAGAAATACTCCCTTTCTTCTTGAATAATAAGCTGTGCTCTTCTCTGCCTGCTTTCTATTTCTTAAATGAATCCGAGTTATGCCCACACTGTAAGGATATCCGTTGTTCTAGTTACGGCTGGGCTGTGCTGTTAGAGCAGGAGGAACCTAAAATGCATCACTGACCAAATCTTCACTAAGAAATGGGCACTGTATATACTAGGGTTCATGGAGATGAAGAAAATGTAGCATTGCTCCTTCCAAGCTTTTCAATATAAAAATCAAATATTGTGGCTTAAGTCAAACGTGATGATTTTCCACATTCAACCACCACATGCTTTACTTTCTGTGTACCGAAAGTATAAGAAGTGCAAGATCTACTCACAGAAAAAAAGCAGTTCTACTGTGGAGAAAAAAAATCAGATCATCCTGAATTATAAAATGAAGTCTCTTGCAACAACTGCAGTATTTTAAGGCCATCCACAACTCACCTGTCCGCTCCTCCAACTTAGCATACTTCGGAGTATTACACATATTACATTCTGACCTTCTGGCCCAGTTCACATTACCACATCTTCAGAGGGGGGAAACAAAAAAAAAAGTATAAATAAGAAACAATTTATTTCAAATTTCACAGTTTTAGTGTCAAGGTGACACTAAGAAGTTGCAAAAGTGACAAGCTGCAGCAGTGGTTTGCAGTCACTAACATGGCATAATTAAGACCAAGGCAGATGGCCACCAAGACACCAAGGAGTCTGTGAGTACACCGACAGCATGAAGATGATGGGATGTGGACCACACTAAGCAAACCAAGGGAAAAGAAATAACAGAAGACTGCCCAAAATGCATTAGCATACAATTATATTTTAGCTGAGATATTTAAACAAAATGATTCTGAAGCAGCTAAAGGCAAAGCAGTTGCAAGCATCCTTTATGGATACGACTGCTAAAGGAACCACTGGTGCTATCAGATACGCAAGGAAAAAGATGAAACAGATACCATTGCCACTAAAAGGAAAAAAAAGGGAAAGAAGGCAAGTGCTCGTGTAGCTACATGGCGAGACACCACAGTCCTGGTTTACCACTCACTGAAAAATGAAATAATACGAATTTCTCATTACTTCTCACTAGTGGCATTCACTGTTCTGGGGAGTTAATGAAGGTGATACAAGGAGAATGCTGTTGCTCAGCAAGCCTTGTCATCCTCTGCTGCACAGCTACAGTTTCTGCATTTCCTGTCCTGCTGTATCCCAAAATGCCACTCACATTTACCCTACCCTTAAAACTACCATCAGGATGCTGCTCAATCCCAAAGAGCAGAGCAGGTGGTCTGCAGGACCCGGTGCAGCCATGAACACGCAATTGAGAGGATTCCTTCACACACACTGCTGCCCTCAGCACTGAGCAAAGCTGGGCCTGACCTGAGGCAGCTGCTGCCTTCCCTGTTACCCTGCCTGCATGCACAGGATGCGCTGTGAAGAGGTGCCTCCTAAACGCTCAGCTCTCCCAAGGCTGCCATACGGACACACAGACGTTCGCCTCTCATATTTTCTCACTATCAGAAAGTCTGCTGCAACAGTACGTGTAAATGGATGTGCTTGCTGCTGGTACTTTGTTTTACTGAGTAGGTATTTTGTTTGGGTCACAGCATATGCAAGCCAGGAAAAAGCACAGCCAGGTTTCACTGGTGTGAAATACCTGGGTGTTTTAGCACTGTTTTCCCATCAGTATCAACTCTCACAACCATAGAATGGCTTAGGCTAGAAAAGACCTTAAGAGTCACCTCATTCCAACCCCTTGCCACAAGCAGGGTTGCAAACCACTACGTCAGGCTGCCCAGGGCCCACCCACAGCCTTGGCACCTCCAGCACTGGAGCACCCACAGCTGTGGGCAGCAGCGCCATGACCTCACTGCCTCCAAGTAAAGGCCTTCCCCTCACCTCTGACCTACACCTCCCATCTTTTCACTAAAGCCCTTCCCTTGTCCTTCACTACCAGCCTGCATGACTCACTCAGGTTGGAGAAGACCTTAAAGATCATCGAGTCCAACCATGACCACACCACCCTAACAACCCTCCGCTAAATCATGTCCCCCAGCACCACATCCAATTGGCTTTTAAACACATCCAGGGATGGTGACTCAACCACCTCCCTGGGCAGCCCATTGCAGTGCTTAACAACCTTTTCAGTAGAGAAGTTCTTCCTGATATCCAACCTAAATTTACCCTGATGCAACTTGAAGCCATTTCCTCTCATTCTGTCACCAGTGAGAAGAGACCAGCCCCACTCTGCTGCAATCACCTTTCAGCTATTGGCAGAGAGCAATCAGGTCTCCTCTCAGCCTCCTCTTCCCCAGACTAAACAGCCCCAGTTCCTTCAGTCTCTCCTCATAGGCCACATTCTCCAAGCCCTTCCCCAGCCCTGTTGCCCTTCTTTGGACCTGCTCCAGCACCTCCATGTCCTTTCTGTACTGAGGTGCCCAAAACTGAACACAGTACTTGAGGTGAGGCCTCACCAGTGCCGAGTACAGGGCAAGATGACTTCCCCAGTCCTGCTCACCATTCCTGACCCAAGCCAGGATGCCATTGGCCTTCTTGGCCACCTGGGCACACTGCTGGCTCACATTCAGCCAACTGTCCATCAGCACACAAAGCTCTCTTTCCGTCAGGCAGCTTTCCAGCCACTCCTCCCCAAGCCTGTAGGGCTGCCTGGGGTTGCTGTGACAAAAATGCAGGACCTGACACTAATGAATCTCTCACAGTTTCCCTTGGCCCATCAATCCATTCTATCCAGGTCCCTCTGCAGTGCCTTTCTCCTCTCAGGCAGACCAACATTCCCTCCCAACTTGGTGTCACTTGCTAACTTACTGAGGGTGCACTCAATGCCCTCACCAAGACGGTTAATGAAGGTGTTAAATAGAAGCAGCCCCTATAAGCACCCTTAGATCACATCCCCACAAGCTGGACGCTGCCCTGCAGGCGCTGCCATTCCGCTCCGTACGTTTTGCACTGCCAGTCGTTGGCGCTGAAGAGGCCGCGGCTCTTCTCTGCCAGGGTCTTCCCTATCTCCGTCCCTCCGGCTTTCATCATTTTGGCTTCGGTCGTTTTCTCTGGAAGCAAACACACCGACAGCTCACGTTTACGGCCGATTACAAACTTCCAACGTTTTTCTCTTAGGAGGGAACGGCGCGGGCCAGGCCGAGCTCACCTCTCCCACATCGGTTGCAGCTGGTCCTCCTGGCGAAGTTCACGTTCCCACACCTGCGGCAAGGATACGGACACACGGACACACGGACACACGGACACACGGACACACGGACACACGGACACACGGACACACGGACACACGGACACACGGACACACGGACACACGGACACACGGACACACGGACACACGTCAGCAACGGCCTCCGACCGGGCCGGGCCCACCCCAAGCCCCGAGCCCCGGCCCGGCCTGTGCCGCCCGCCCCCCGGCGCTCACTTCTTGTCGGGGCAGATCCAGTCCCCGTCGCTCACGCGGAAATTCTTGGTCGACATCTCGGACCCGCACAGCCCCGCCGAGCGCCGCCACCGCCGCCGCGCAGGAGGAAGAGGACCGGGGTCCTGAGCCGGCCGGGCCGCCCGCCGCGCCTGCGCCCCACGGCCTCAGCGAGCCGTGCCCGCGCCGGGCGGGATTCCGGTCAGGCAGCGCCTCGGCCGCCTCAGCCGGGAGGACGCGGAGGACGGGGCGCCCCCAGCGGAGCGGAGGACTGCCTGCAACTTCCGCCGTGCGCGCGAGGCCGAGGGGGGTGCCGTCAGCGGGAGCAGCGGAGCGGCGCGGGGCGGGGCGGATATCGGGGTGGATATCGGGGCTGATAGCGGGGCTGGTAGAGGGGCAGGTAGAGGTGCAGGTAGACGCCCGGTGCCCGTGTGCTTCCGCGGGGCGAACGGCTGCGGTCTCGTTCGTGCCGGGAGCGGCGGTTGCTGTGAGCAACGTAACGACGTCCCACGAGAACGCCGGGACGGTTTGAGCTGCGAGTGCGTGAACGCAGTGCTAAAACTCCAAATAAATGCTTTTGCTTATTTTTATTTATTTATTTATTTATTTATTTTCCCCTCCTTCTTTGCAATAAACCTTTAACAAGCACCCCAGAGCTGCTGGCTGGGGCCATGCGATCCCTCCGGCCGTTGCGCTGCCCGCCCGTTGCTCTCAGCGGCAGCTGGATGCACGGCACAGGACGGTCCGTGGAGCATCGCCTTCCTGCACACATAGCAGGAAAAAAACTAACCCACATTCACCATCTTCGGTCTGATCCGCAGGCCTTCACTGCACGCGTCAGTCCGAGCTGAAAAGGAGGATCGGTCGTAGCGCTGCGACACAGGTGGCAACACGTCTTCTGTGGTCGCTTCGTCAGCGCAGATCCTTAAAACGAAGTAAATAAAAGTGAAACAGTAAATGAAAGTAAATAAAAGATCTGGAGAATCCGGTTACTGCCCTGAGTGCCTGGGGAGGGAGATGCACTGCCGCCATCGGATGCTGTACAGCAGGTGGCACTTTGGTAACGCGGATCGTTTTCCCAGGCGCTGCTATTGAAAAAGAGAGATCTGCTTTGTTGTGACTTCGAAGGCAGAGAATTTAAATATTAATATATTGATAGAGCTATTTCCTACCCCCGAAAAGAACAAACAAACAAAAACAAACAGCATCGCTGTCATCCTGTGTGATCGGTGCTGGGAATTGAATGCAGGACTATCTTTGCCTTGCACATGGTGCAGGAGGTGAAGCTGTCAGGGTGTGCCCTGATCTCACAGCGTGTGCGTTCACCCAGACCTCCTGCAGGCAGGGCACCGTTCCTGCCTCTGCAGGACGGGGAAAAGCCAAAAGCAGAGGCTGTGCAACGCTAATATGTTAGAAGAAAATCAGCATCTTGGCCTAGAGAAGAACTGGACTGAAGTTCAACGTGCTTAGGAAAGATGCCGCTCTGGAATCCTGGTTTCCCATTGAGGTCGCTGCTCATGGGTCCATTGCAGAGCAGGTTTGGGGTCTCCCTGAAGCCCTGAAGGAGTGAAGGCAGAACCTGCTCAGGGCTCATCCCCTTTGTGTGGCTCCTGGGCCAAGCGGGGATCAACTTCTGGCCAACAAAATTTAACATGAGAACAGAGAATACAGCTCTAACTTGAGCAGCAAAATCCTCGTGCTGTTCAGGTCATTAAAAAAGCCCCCTGTGGATGACTTCAGGGGCAGGAGTTTGTTCCGTATCCCTGGATTTCTCTTAAGGGAAATCAAGACACGTAAATCTTGAATTTTACATCAAGAAATGAATCAGAAGAGGCACTTTCTGTTTTAAAAATAAGCATGGGCAAAATCGCAACTCACCTGGTAATAATTTGAGGCTTAAATGTTTTAAAACTTCCCCCAAAAATAATGAGAAGAATATTTCAGTGGTATTTGCCTTCTTCTGAAGGAAGTTCCCCAGAGAAGCCTTTGGCCAGGCAGAGGTGGGATGCAGTCAGCCACATTCTGGAAATCAGACCTTTGCCTGAATATGCAGAGGGAATATTGCCATAACTTCTGTTTGTCCTGCCCATTTACTTCAAAGCTTCTATTAAAAACTGAAAAGCCAACTGGGGACTGAAAAAACACACGGCTTATTTTTTAATTGATGAATAAATTTATTTAATTCATGAATATCTTAATTAATTTATGGAGCAAGACCCAAGTGAACCAGATCTGAAGTCCTGGAGGGCACTGTGACCAGGCAGCCAGCTCAGCTCAGTGACTATGTAGGATACCCCCTTTTCTTAATAAACCAGTTAGCTTTGCTTGAAGTTTTTTGATATGCTCATCTTCTTTTCCTATGTTTCTTATGCGAAGCTCCATTAAAATATCTACTTCTCATTTCAAGACACTTTGTGGACATTTGTATTACATTCCTGTTTCTGTCATAATGCATTTTGGCTTCAAGTATACATAAGGACTGATAATAACGAAGTAAATGAGAAATACATTGCCCTTCAGTTTAACATAATGAAACTGAACAGTTGAGCATGAAAAAATGTATAGAAAACTATTTAATTGGCCTGTCTCTAAACAGCAGATTCCCGCCAACCAGCAGGGAATATCAGTTTTCTTGAAGAAAAACTAAATGATACGAAGGCCAGCTGAGATCAAAGCCAGGTAATTAAAGGAAGGTTGCCCGTGCTTCATTGCTCTTTCACTCTGTTTTTGTGGCCTCCAAGTACAGTGTCTGCGTGCCACACTTTATTAAGCAGTATGGGGCACCTAGGATTTTAAGCATCACTTTAAAGCACTCAATAGTTATTGATGCTCTCCAAGACGTAGCAGTAATAACAATTTCAAATTTATGAGTTAAATGCGAGCGATGTGCTTCCATCAGGTCAAATCCAACAATTGTGAAAATCTATTTGTGTTGATGTAGTTGGACATAAACAAAAATGTACACGAAATAGCGCTTGACTGTTTCTTTTTTAGAGAACATCATAACTTGACAGATATTGTTTAGCAGGAGGCAGTGAAAATGCAGTCCCTGTATTGAAAAGCACAAATGCTGTCCTCTCTTCAAGACACTCGCAGGTCTGTGATGTACAATGCAATACAAAGATTGCTGTGCTGGAAAGCAGTTTTAGGACATGCCAAGCATTTGGAGAGTTTGCTTTCCAAAGTTTGTTTCAATCTTCATAACTGACGGACATTTTGTAATAGAATTTTTCAAGCAGATGATGGGTGCTGTCATGGCACTCAACTGACGTGCTGCTGGAGGAAAGATTTTCTTCAAATGTGACCTTTACTGAGGGTAAAACATTGCTTGTCATTTAATAACTTAATAATTAAAGAGTATATCGAGCTCACCAGGAGTATGTAAAATCACAGTATGAATGTTACAAGCAATACTTGAGGTGTTTGTTCCGCTGAGAGTGAAGTTGGCCAATGCTCGTTCACACACACAAGGGTGTGATTACTGGGGACTTGGAGAGGCCCCTTCGCCCACTGCTGCTGCTGGAGGTTCTGCTGATTGCAGGCACTGCTCTGGCAGCTCTCAGCTCAACCCACAGCCCGAGGTTCCCCAGCCGTGCTCCGTGGGCTGCCCTGCCTCCCAGCCTCTCATTTGCAGCCAAGCAGCGAGTAGTAGCCCCAAATGTTTCCTCTTTTTTCCTTTCCATCAGCTGTTGCATCCATCTCCCTGATTTCTGTTCTCTTTTATTGATATTCTCATGTGTCTGGAAAGGAACCCTTCCTCTTTTACATACTTAAATAACATACTTTTAAACCTTCCTGGTAGGCTGTGTTACCCAGATCTTCATTCTGCGCTCCCAGATCCCCCATACAACTCCCCCACAGCAGGGTCTGCCTGCCTCACTGCTGCTGGCACCGTGCTGACGCTGCTCCAATCCATTTTGCTGCCCTGCAGTGCTCCTCCTTGTGCAGGTTACACGGAGGTAATTTCTTCCAGGAGAATCATCACATCATGAATTTGTGCTTTGTTTATGACTCAGTGCAGATCAGTGTTTTCTGCAGTGCTCTACATGTTGTTCCAGGTTAAGGCTTGCGTATTTGATTTCTCCCTTTCAAGTCTAATACTTTGCACCTGGTCTGAGTTAAATTTCATTTTTATTAATTTGAGATCGACTCTCCAAATATGAAGGTAACTCTGAATACCTGTGTTGTCCTTCAGATTTCTTTTGGCTTGCTGTTTGATTGAAGCTGGACTGCATTTCCTTGACGGGTGCACATGGATGTCATGTAGAGGTGGTCACAGACGCTCCTCAGGTGCACGTAGATCATAGCTGGATATTTTCCTCCTGTGTGGTGGAGAAGCTGAATGGAATGAAATAAGTTTAACGTGATCATATCCCCATATTGTGAAACCTTGTATCCTCTTTGGAACTAGGTGTGTTATTTGCCATTGTGACATATTACATATTAATACATGTCATTGCTAAAGCAAAAATGGGAATATTTTGCCAAAACAGGGTGTGAAACCACCTCAGGTTTAAAAGGAAGATTGTGCATGGCCATTGCCTGACACCTTGCATGTTGTGCTCTGGCTGCTCTGAGCCTCCACATCCACCACCAGCTTGTAATTCTGCAGTAATGTGGAGTGTCAATGGACAGATGTGCAGGGATTATGAAAATGGATCATATTTCATCATTACATTTTTATTCAAACACAATAACAATATATCCTGTAACTGAGCTCTCGGTGGCGTTGACAGCATCCTTCCCTGCACTCAGAGCTGTGATACAGATGCGTTATTTCCTCCAGCAGATTTTACCTGTCAGACAGTTGTTTTAGTTCCAGAGCTCCTTCTCAGAAATAAATAGGGACTCATGATGCACGTCACTCTTTTGACAGGAAAATCCAAACATATATTTGCCCACAATTGTGTTGACATTTGCAATACAGTTTAAGGGCTTTTTTAGAGCCACAGGAGACATAGTTGAGTTTTTAAACTTAATCTCCAAAGCAGATTTAAAATAAAGTATGATCTTACCATATCATTTAGGAGAAGTAAGCTATCCAGCAAAGCTGCATTTCCTCCTGCGTGGAAGGGGAGATTACAGGGCCATGAGCTGCACTGGTCCTGATGCTGTATCTCCAAGTGTTGGAAGACTTTGTAGA